CCCCCCCCCCCCCCTCCCTTGTTTTGGTGTCTACGTGTTCATTCCAACTATTTATCGGTGTGCAGCAAATTCTATCGCTGTTCGTTGTCGAGAGCGCCCATACTCTCGGCCCGCTTGTAGAGACAAACTGCTCTCAAGGGCGCCGTTCTGCCCCGGCTCAAGCTCGATGATTGCCAAAGCGACGTTACTTTTCGATGGGTTGGCGACGACAACGAAGATCCGCTTCCCTCCTGTGATGGTCGGCTCCTACTTGACGGCGGTCTTTGACTGCTTCTGATGCTGATGCTTAACCCTCTTGCGTTCCTCACGCTGCCGCCTCGGCCATGATTGCTGTCAGTTCGAATGGGCGGTTTTCGCAGCGCCGTGTCCGAAAAAGATATATTCACTTTTCTGGAGGGCGAGGATGCCAGAACCATCGAGTACGCCTGTTTGGGGTGCACAGAAGACAGGCAGAGGGACCAGGGGAGGACGTACTCGTGTTTGGCATGCCTTGCTGTTAGACCATTGACCACTCGCCCTCGAGAAGACGGAGCATTGTTCTCACAGGACCGATCGCCAGTGGCCAATCGTTCCTTCCTACTTCGCCTAAGGCGGCTCAAAATGTTTTTCCCATCCTTTCCGTACTACGTCTCGCCGGCTTGGGCCACTTCTTTACCAACGTATCATGTTCGTCAGGGGGGGTAAAGGGGGGGGGAGAGACACCGAGCTATTTTTATTTGGGAAAAAAGTAGTTCTCTGGTACGATGGCCACGACACAGGGCAAGATCCCACAGATACCCTATAGGAAAAGAGCAAAGGAAAATGCCAGAGAAGGGGAATCTGCAGGAGCAGGACGAGAGGGCGAGGGTACTCGTATCTTCTCGCGTGTCTTCGTGATGAGGCAGTTGAACAAGCGACTCAATCAATGAGGGGCTCATGTGCTCGTCTGCAGCGCACGGCGGTAGAGCTTCGCGCGGCTACAAGCCCGCGCCGAAGAAAGGCAGGCCTTTTGGCGACATGACAGAAATCGCACCTAACCTCTAAGGAGCAACCTCCAACAAAGTTTCAAAGGGACATCTGCGCTGTCTTCTGCGATTTGAACAACAGCGTTTCGTTCTGCCAACGACACGTCTTGATGGCCTGGATGTGACAATGACCGCGCCAACAAAGTCTTCCTTGCCTGCTTTATCTCTGCGAGCTGCGTCTTGAGGGCTTGATTGTCTCGCTTCAGGACCACAAAAGTCTCGAACGTCACTCCGTCCCCGGCCACTTTCTGGAGCTCGGCCTCCACGTCTGAGGCAAACGCCTGTGCTTTCTCCAGCCGTTTCACGGTCTGCCTCAGCTCTCTCTTTCGGGGGATGGGAGGGAACGAGGCGTTGAGGAAAGATGGGTGGTGCGTGTGGAGAGGTGCGAGAGGGTGGTTGTGACGGACGGTCAAACTCTGAAGCACTGGATAACTGCAACCGTGTTGTTGTTGGTTTTACCGAGTTCCCTATTTCTGAAGGATTTATATGCGGGGAGCAACCAAAGCAGTACAAAGAACGGGAAGAGTAGGGCTTAGGAACGGAGTACGAGTATGAGGATGTCGGCCAGTCAAAACGATTTGGACGACAAGGGACAAGCGACGAAAGCTTCCCCCCGCCGTTTGTGCCAGTTTTCGAACAACAGAAACGCGATTAATTGGTTTCGGAGGCGCAGGAGGGCAGTATATCTCTCGTGGATTGCATTGTACGATGCCCCTTACGTGAAATGATGGGGAAGATCCAGCGGCGGTTTCGTGCTGCGGCCTCTCACACTCTCGGCAAGTGCCTTGCAGGTCTACCCATCTCTCTGAGTGCAACGTACAGCATCCTACCCTTCACACCCATCATGGTCCCATTCACAGGATCGATTCCGTGATAGACGAACTTTCATATATTCGGGACACCGCAATTCATACTGCCCTACACGCCTGCCCAACCTCAAGTTTGGCGTTTCTCTCGCGTAGAATCTTCTCGCTCTCTCTCAGCCGCCGTATCCCCGACCCAAGGGTCGATTCGTCTTCCACGTCGACAACCGTCGCTGTCTTCTTCCTCGGCCCAACGTCTAGAGAGGCAACCGAACCGTCGTCGTCGATGTCGCCCCCGCCGGGACATGTGAGCGGAAACCCGACAACGGGCTGCGGCTCCGCCACCTTGTCGCAGGTCAACTCTGGAGGGGGATCCACCTACAGGAGGGTTTGCAAGTTGGGTTGGTGTGGCGTATGAGGGCCGGGGTATGTTGGTTTGATGTATATGACACCAGCAACGGGAGGTCCTCCGGAGCATCGAGTTCGTGAGATTGCGGAACGGTTCAACTTTCTTCTCAACGCTACTGATTACCTCTCACCAGTGTTGTCGAGGCACCACTACGGCCCTTGCGAACGCTGTTTCCGCCATTCGAGCGCCCGTTCCGATTCGGCACGGCCGGCAAAGGAGGAACCCTCTGGAATGGGTTCGTTCGTTCACGTCGGCCGCCATGATACATGCGTCAAAGGCCGAAGGCATGCCGGGTTAGTTGAGGGTTCTGGTGTACAGGGTGGAAGAGAAACACCACGGCTTGCGTCTTTCTCGTGAATAAAACGAGGGTTCCGTCTCTTTGGTATATTTAGTATGTACGCGCATTTTTCACCCGATGTGTGTGTGCCATTAGATCCCCCTCGATACAGTCGCTTAAGAAGATGGACAGCATGAGCAACGCCAAATACGTGGCTGGCAGGGGAGAGTATGCCATGGCGGCAGCAGAACAGCACTTATTAATGGTACCTCGATTTGAGGCCCCCTGTTGGGCGCGGTTATACTAGCTGCGACTGCTTGGAGCGCACGGAGCTCCCGCTCGACGCTCTCTCTTCGGAGGACTTCACTTTTCCCCTGTCAGATACACAAAAGCGTGGGAGAGACAAAATTCGTCCTCAGGGTGAGAAGGCATTTCGAGGGCAAGTTGTTCCCCTCCCTACACTCCAAAGGGTGACCACAATGTCTCAACAACACACATGAAGAGTCTCGTCTCGCTTCTTCTGGGGAGCGAACGGTATCCTCGTATCTCTCGTCAGATGATGCCCGCGGCCTGCACGGCTGAGACTTGAGCTAGCTTGGCCAAGTAATCCAACTGACAGCTTTGTCAGGCCTCGCTCGATCCAAACAGAGCGCCAGCGCTTTCTCCTTGCGTGTTCACGACAAGTGTATCCGACCGCGGATGGCAAATAATTCTGCTTCGACACCTTCGCTCATCCCATGTCCTACTGAGTGCCACCCACCCACCTGTCTCTCAAGGTCAAGGCATCTTCGCTTCGCCGTCGACTCTCTCCGGGATACTGCACGAAGACGCCGCTGCAGGTTCACGACCTCCCTACGATCCAACGCAAGACACGGAGAAGGGGGAGCAGAGGGGATCGATTGTGTCCAGGGGCTGAGTGGGGTTGTGGGGACTGGAAAAGGTGCACGCATGGCTGATGTCTACAGGCCAAGTTGGGGTTGGTGTATTTTGTGGTCACCCCGCATGGCTACAAATAGTGTCAAGTCGGGGAATTCGCCGAGCAGATATCGTTAGGGGGGACCGGGGGCGGATGTCTGCCTTGAATGTTGTCGGGATTGGAATACTTGCCTCGGCGTCGATGGCCAAACCGCCATCACCCGAAAAATAGCGTCGATGATTGAGAAGAAAAGCAGTAGGGGGCCATAACAACTCCGTTCTCCCCCCCCGCGACCATCATCTCGTGCCTTCTTTACGTTAACACTTCTGTCGCGACGTCTAACCTTACCCTATGCAGCGCATTCGCATTGCGGGTCCATTTGTAACCAAGTCACCTTTGCGAGAGAACGCTCTCATCGTCATCCCCGTCGTCCATCCAAGCCGTCCCCAGGCTGCGCGTTCAGCGCCCGTCGTTGCCGGTCACGTGCGGTTAGCGTGTAGTATACAGTGAGAGAATGCGCCGCATTGCCGGGTGCAGTGCGGGACGAGCATCGGTAGATCAGAGCGTAAGGAAGTGCCCGTGGGCGCGAAAGTCCAACCGGAGGTTTTTTCATGAGAATGGGGGAGGTGCTACGCTAGCAATAGCTTCTTTGCAACAGCTGAAACCAATCGTTGCGGTGGACACCCGCACTTCGATTGCTAAAGGCGTTTTCAGCTGCACCACTCCTAACTCCAAACCCTTAACGATGGTCCAATTAGAGATTCAGTTGTTACCCTACCCTATCCGCCACGCGTAGTGACCCCTACATTCCCCCCCTCCCTCCCCGATCCCCCCGCTCCGCTCATGCCCTCGCCTACTCCCCTCACAACGACATCTAACCGCAGAGAGATACCGAAAGACAATGTGCGTATGTTGCAACGCCGATTTCGGCGGGATTGGAGTGATGGGGGGGTAGGTTTGATGGCGCTGCCTCTCACCGACTGAGCGCGGCCTGGCTGGTGTTGTGCCGTAGTTCTTCCACCTCCGACTCCAGGCGAGACACGTCCAGCTTCGCCCTTTCCTGCGCTGCCTGAGCTTCAGCAATCGTCGATGCCAACTGCTCTTTAAGCTGCACCGACGGGGGCATACACGTCGGGTGGCACAACACAGATGAAAAGTGATCGACATCATAACCACGCTAGCAATGATACCGGTGACTGTGCGAGGATGTCCGAGAAGTACATCAAGTGCTTGTTAACCTGTGCCAGTGAGTGTACACATGCAGCAGACAGAAACCTTTGACAATGAGTGCTCTTCGATACGGTGTGCTATTGCCACGAGCGGGAAGCACGTACGCAAGCGGCGCTCGCCATAAAATCTCGGGTGCTTCTTCAGCTACATAGATGATAACACAGCAGCAATCTAGTCCAAGGCAAGGATTCTCCTTCACGGTAAATTTGGCAATCAAAGACCATCAACCACAACAAGTGACAACAACTACCGTGGCACCAACAATGCAGGAAACAGTAGCAGCGGCAAATGTAGCAGCAGCAGCAGCAGCAGCAGCAGCAGCAGCAGCAGCAGCAGCAGCAGCAGCAGCAGGAGCAACAATAGTTGCAGCAAGCAGCAGCGAACAGCAAGAACAACTACCAATCCAACGCGTTGCTCACAAAACCTGGACATCGTGTTGCAAATGCCTCCAAGGTACGTTCATGCATGCCCCCTTGAGGCTCGTTGCCGCGAACCCACCTGAACGATTTCTGCTTCTAAGCATTCCACCTGCTCTTGACATCTCCTCTCGACAGCAGCACGAGACGTTTCGAGGTCTTTGTTTTGAGCTAGGAGAACCGCCAAGGTCAACTCACTGGCTTCTTCCGCAGCCCGTGCTTTCGTTGTTTCGGCTTGTGCCTGTGCTAGCTGCGCCATCACCCGTTCGATTTCTACATTCTGATATTGTTTGCGATGCGACATGTGAGCGAGGTCGGCATTGCTCAGCGCAACTATTAACCCGCGCACTCGTTGGGACGGCCGTATGCCGTTCTTGTTTCTTCCTCTCCGGCACGCAACTTCCGGTGGCTCGTCCGTTCTTCGCCGAGTGTCCAGGGGTTCAATATGTTGGATGATATGGCAATACAAGCAGTCGTTTCTGAAAGCACCCATCTGCCAAGAACACGTATTTACAGATCTCAACCATTAGCCGAATCTGTAGAGGTGGCGCTGCGAAGAAGCAAACAAACGAAGGGTAAAAAAAATGGGCCACCGCGTGAATTGTGCTTACCGCTGTTGTGTCTACTCCATCGGTAACCTCTACCTCTTCTTCGTTGTGGTTGTTCGCGTTTGGCTTCTCGCGAAGGTCGGTTGCTCCATCCGGCACACGCTTCTCTCCCTCAAAGACCTTGTCCGAAGCCCCCAAGTGAAGAATGGCGAACAAATGCCGTTACGATTGGCGAACAAAGAATTTGCCCTCGTTATATCCGGCTTGCAACATACATATATCAATCGTTGAAGTGGCTTTGGTGGCCTCGGATGATATTGATTCTTCATACAAACAATAATCGGCACACCCAATGTGTCGTACACAACCTATCGAGTGACTTACCTACAAACGTGTGAACAGATTTTCGTGGGCGGTTGTTAGTTGCTACTGATTGAAAAAAGAGACGAGTGGATTTGGTCTCTGGCCGGTGGATCAAGAAATATGCCATTGCTCCCACGTTGCGAGATGATAACACCAAATTTAACTACTTTAGTTGAAAATACGAGAGCAGGGAGGTATTGTCATCGTTCAAGCCTACTACAGATTCAGCACTATTTACTAGAGGCTAGAATAGACAATTCTATGTGTACATTTTTTGTTTTTCTCCCATCATTGGACTCTGTCGTCTGCCCCTCTGGCCCCTACCCTCCACATCTACCAGCTAGACGACCCAACCGGGGCCACATAGGAGGAGGAGGTTGGAACCCCTCCTGCGGTTCTTGCCTGAAATATTTTTATCGCGAGAAGGGTACAGCAATCCCTTCCCTCGCGACTTAAGAAGTCGATCAAGTTCACTAAAAACGAGCTTTGCAGCGCATCGCTTCCAACGGAGACCATATGCTCCGGCGAATACTCGGTAAGGTTCTATGCATGAGTGAGTACGCTTGAAAACCGCAACAACGTGAGCATGAAAGGCACTCACTTTGAGTTTCTTGCGAATCGCGTTGTTCTCGTCGATTAGTTGTCGGAGCACCTCCAGCGTGCGGATGTGTTTGTGCTGCAACGGGGAGCACCGTTGAATACATTGATTTCTGAAAGGGGGCCAACCACCTACAGTTATTGTTTTTGTTAATAATAAGCCGCGGAGCACGAAGCGCGACATATTTTCCCTTCGTCCCCAGGAGGGAAAAAGGCTCGATGTGTCGGCCAAAGTTGCGCCGCACGATACAGGGGCCCCAAAACTTGGTTTCCATGAAGCCGATACATCCCACTTCTGGGACCAGAACGACATTTGCAGGGCACCGATCGACGATCTGCTCGCTTCTTGGGCAGAAGAAAAATAGCGCCCTCTGCGTCACACCGGTTTGGTCGTGCTCCGATACCGGATGGCTGTGCTACACAAACGTTTGAGCACAAAATTCGCAGGAGATCTTGCTCCCCAACCCCGGGGTTTCTCCGCGAAAAGGCGTACACAAAAGTGGACATCGCGCGCTCGCGCGATTGAAACCAGGAGAAGACACCGAGACAGATAGAGACAACAAAACCACCAAAATCAAATCACCGCTGGGACACTGATCCGAGACCAGCTATGAAACCAGTAGGGGCCGGGCCTATTCGACCTGTGCACCGTGGGTATTGTCATGCTCCATGTGCAACCTGGCGGCGGGTGTTTAGTGACGTTGAGTGCGTGGGTCCAACCCACTGATCCAAAAACAGCAAGCCGATGATCACAAACGAACACCCAACATAGCACACCTTCCCAAGTCCAGATCACACCTACCATCGAGCGAAACCGTCGAGCGCGTGAGGGTCTACTGCTGCTGTGCGCTACTAGAACGGTTCCCCGAGGGATCGGTTCAGGTTGCGAACTTGCGCCGCGCTACTGGCTGTCTCCGCAAAAGCCGTGCCCTGCCTGCTGTCGCTGCTGCTGGGTCTGTTCCAGATGCCTAGATGTGCGTGTTTTTTTTCATTATTTGCATCGACCGCGCTAACCGGCTGACCAATTCAAAGACGTCAGTGCCAGCGGGTAAAAATCAAGGTCCCTGGAAGGGGGCCAAAATTCGAAAAATGCGCAATGCGATTGATGCGAATGCCAATACCTCTCTCTCTACATGTTCTTTCACGTAGACACACATCTCAGCTACACAAATGCCCTCGCTCGAATGTAGAAAGCCACTGATGCAAAGAGCGGAGGACAGCAAAAGGGTTATTTCAAGCCCAGCCGAAGCCAGGATATCGTGGTATGCTGCATCTCCCAATTTGATGATCGTACACTCCCAAGATCCAACAGTCATCGTGTCAGCAGCTAGATGACTCAAACAAAATAGCAACACATACACTGCCATAGCTCCACACATGCCCTCACCCGAACCTGGCTGTGCGTGTTTGCGTTCGCTCAGCGGGAAGACTTCACTTTTGTTTCTTCTTGGGCGTGTGCATGTTCATCAACAGAAAGAAACAGTCGCATGTAAAGTGCAAAATAGTGAACGCGGGGGCCGCACATACCACCGTCGTCACTCATCCCGTCGTACGCCTGTCCCTCTGGTGCACGCGTAGCTGCACCACAAACGATTCACGCTGCTGTGTGTCGGGATTCGTGCATCATCAGCATCGCAGATAAGACTGCTACAAGGTATTGAGTCGCTACCCCGCGCGGCTCATTAACCCGCCCTATCTACAGTAGTCTAGTAGTATGACACAACAAAATCCATTTCTTGCATCGAAAATAACCAAGATGTTGACTTACTAGCAAATGAACACGTACATTTTGAGATAATTGTGTCCTCTGGGCCTCTCTGTATAGTCTACTTGGGTTATCATTCATCCTAGCTGGTGCGCGTGGGTCAGTGTATCTTGCAAGTGGAACAAGTCAGTATCTCACACCCATCCCAACTAGCTAACCCTAATAGGAACGCCACGCCAAACTACAGCTGACTCTGTTCTTCAAGGAGATGCGGCGAGATAAGCATATAATGTGTGGGGCATCCAGCTTACCCGCAGCTCGTCAGAAACTCGTCTAGCGTGGTCCTCCATGCCACCTTTTCGCGGATAGTAGCGCCTCTTCAGAACACGCAGTTTCCTTTTGGTTTGTTTGTTTGTCGTCTCACACGGTCTCTGTGTTGAGAAACCGATTGAGTTCGTGAGTTCGTCCTCGCGTACACATTGCATGGTCTCATGTGCCAACTAAGACGCGGCGGGATTACCGTTGCCCGAACGCCGTTCGGGCAACGG